GTTTAGGGATTAGGCTTTAGGGTTTTTAATTAGGGTTTAGGGTTTAGGGTTTAGGGTACTGATTGGAGTTGATCTAGGTTTGGGGGTGCAGGGGCTTTGGGTTTAGAGTTTAGGCTTCAGGGGTTAAGGAATTTGCTGTTTGGGGTTGCCGTTTAGGGCGTGCAGGAGTCTTGGCTTGAGGACTTGATCGCATTCCGTGTTTCGGTCTTCGCGACTGCTCTAGTTGAAGCTAAACCCTAAACCCTAGACCCTAAACCCTTTATACATCCTAAACTATTGAAACAGAAGAAACCCTAGACCCTAATCCCTACACCCTTAACCTTAAACCGGCTTTGGGTTTAGGGTTTAGGGTTTAAGGAGGGCTTTGGGTTTTGGGTTTAAGGTTTAGGGTTTAGGATTTAGGGTTTAAGGTTTAGGGCTTAGGGTTTAAGGATTGTTGTTGCTGTTCTTCACAGAAAGGCGCCCTCTCTTACAGTAAAGCACGTGTAGTGATGCAACAAGCCAGACACCCCTTCACTGAGGGGTATGGCCGAAATGAAGAGAAAGGCACTACACAGTTTGAGGGGTTATAGAATCCTAAACCCTATAGTAGGTTTAGGGTTTAGGGTTTAGGGTATAGTGTATAGGGTTTAGGGTTTAGGGTTTAGGGGGGTTATAGATCTCTTCAGGAACATTGCAAGAAACCCCTAAAGTCAGATCCAAGACCCTCAACTCCCAGGAGAAAGAGGCCGAGCTTCAGAAGCATCTGCTGCAGGTGCCCACGGCTTTGTTCTGGGGCAGCTTTTTTTGGTGTTAAGGGAGTTTAAGGACCGGGGCTTCGGGTTTAGGGTTCAGGGTTTCATGATTTAGGGTTTAGGGTTTTGGGGCTTTAGGGCTTTACGGTGTTAGGTTCTTCGTTCGTGTTCGTGTTGAGTGTCGCTTCTGGACCGTTGAGGCCATGGATGTCGTTTTCGAGGCTTTCCAGGGCGGTCTAAGCGAGCTGGCCTACGGGCATGAGTTTGACAACCCTAAGCCTTTAGGGTTTAGGGTTTAGGGCTTAGGGTTCAGGGGTTTGGGTTTAGGGGTTTATGGTGTAGGG